TCAGTTGATAACAATTCCATAGTTATTAGGGTTTTGATTTCAGACATATAGATTGGAAAATTTTAAGGCTAAATCATGAGGGAGATACATTTTTGAAACTTTTCAGGATGGTTTTCATCACCATTTGGTTAGGAACCTATTAGCAATAACTATTGTAGATGTATTATTAACTTCTGGTGCAGAAATTATTGATAGGGTAGAAATTATGGAACATATGGGTGAAAGTGGTCATTACTCAATTAGGTGTGATGTTTTGTTGCATATGGATATAAGAAATAATAAGATTTTGGTTCCAGATTTTGAAAGTATGATACAAGAATTGTTTGTTGTAAATTTTTCAATGGAAGTGATTGGAAATACTGATCAAAAGTGAAAATCTTTTAAAACGAAGTTGTTAAATATTCAATATAAACAAGTTCCTTATAGGAAAAAATGTAGCTGCAAATAAAAAACCAAGTTGGCTCAAGTATGAGAGATAAAATTAAAGAAAAGCATTATAAATATATAAGTACAAATTGATTGCTATGATTGGAGATTTAGAGAATTATAAAAGATCAAGAGAATTGGTCAAAGTAGGGATTGAGAAATCGAAAATCTATATATAAAAAAGGTTCATTGAAAATGTAGAAATTAATAGCAAATATATTTTTTAATACATTAAGGGTAAGCAAAACGTTAAAATGGTAGAAGAGCCTTTAAAGATTGATACAAGAAGGCTCATTTCTGATTATTATGAAATGGCTGGATTATTAAATTCTACTTTTTCTTCAATTTTTACTAATGGAAATGTAAGCGATATTCTTCAGCTTAACAGTTAATAGATGGAACAAGATCGAACAATATGATCACATTAATTCTGAACTTATTAAAAACATTGGACAGTTTGAAGAATAACAAAGCTCCTGGACCAGATAATACTTCCCTGGGGGTTTTGAAGGAGGTTAAGGATTGGATATGTGAGCCACTTGCTACTATGAACAGTGGGCAGGTGCTAGATGATTGGAAGTTGGTTAATGTTACTCTTCTTTTCAAGAGAGTCGAATAAAAATTGTTTCTATAATTATAGGTTTATTAGTTTATATCAGTGAGTGGTGGAAAAGATTTTTAAAAGTCTGTTTTCACAAGATAAAATTCTTACTTTACTAATCTTACATTCTTTGAAGGGGCTATTGCTTATATATAGATAAAGGGACAGGTGTGGATCTGGTGTAGCTGGATTTTCAGAAACATTTGACAAGGTGTCTCATAAAAGGCTTGTTAAAAATTATTTCTGTAGGTGAGAGGATAGATTGTCTCATTGGGTGGAAAACTATATGGATGGAGAAAAGCAGAGGGTTGTTATAAATGGAGTTCAACCAAACTAGATTAGTGTTACAAGTGGATACCTCAGGACTCATTGTTAGGATCTATGCTCTTTTTGATTTACATCAATGACATAGATGAATGATTAGTCAATAAATTATTTAAATTTGCATGTTATATTAAGGCTCTTGGTGTTGATTGTTGTGAGGAGGATGCTTCTGCTTTACAAACAGATTTGTATTATTGATGAGTTGAGCGAATAAGTGGTTTTCAATTACAAAAAAGCAATTAAGGTCCATGTGGTTTCTGTCTACTTTTGGTATATATAACAAGATATCATAATTTGAATTATGAATTTAATTCTGATGGGAATAACCTAAATAGTATTATGGAAGAAAAAGATACCTGGGTCTTCTAGTCCATCAGTCTTGTAAGCCATCCAAGCAATGTGTTGTTGCTAGTAATGAGGCAAATAAGATTTTAGGTTGTATGACTTGTATCTACAAAAATATTAAGTTTAAATAGATTATAATTTTATTGGTTAGGCCACATTTGGAGTATTGTGTTCAGCTTGGTCTCCTTATCTTAGGAAAGACATTGACTTGTTGGAAGAGGTTCAGAAGAAAACTATTAGGATGATGGCTAGGATGGAAATGTTGTCATATAAAGAGAGGTTAAGATTTCTGAAGATGTTTTCTCTTGAAAAAAGAAAAGTTAGAGGTGTTTAAGATTATTAATTAAGTGAATTGACAGTATGGATGCATCGTTTTTTTCGTACTTAGTTGTGTAAATGGTGAGATTTTGCCAAGGTAGAAGTCACCTTTAGCCAAGACAGCTTTATTTTTCTAACAAGGTAATTGGCCTGTGGAATGGATTGCCTTCTGATGTGGTAGATGCAGTTAATTTAAGAGAGTTACGGAAAAGCTTGATAAATATTTGAGTGATAAAGGCTGGCTTTAAAAGATTTTAATCTTAAAATTTAGTTTAGTCAATGGGATGGTCTAGATAGATCATCGGATCCTTTGTTGTCCTTAAATCATATGTACGTGTAAAGCTCACATATTAGATCACATCTTACGATCTTACCTTTCTGAATAATTAAATGCACGCATCTTTCATCACCTAATTAATTTGTTTATTGATCCTATAACTGGACAGACGAGATATGTTACGTAAAGCAGTGTTTCCAGAATCCGTATGGAACACTTACAGATTAATTAGAATTGCCTAAACTGTTTTATTCAAGAATATTTTTAAGGAAAGTAAAAATCATTTTCAACACACTTGAAAATTAAGGAAAGAGTTGTATTAATAAAGACGTTTCATGGGGTTCGTGTCGTTTCTGTCCAGGTTCAGTATTTATAACAGGTATACTTTAAAAATAAGCTCACAGTAATTCATGTGAAATAAAAGCTGAGTCTTTGTTGTAACGCATTACGCATAGTTTTTATGTTTTAACAAAGAACTTGATTTATACTGTTCCAAATATTGCAATAACAAATTGAAAGTTCTTATAAAATAATGTTAAATAAACTTAAAGAGTATCTGAAATAATGTTGAGAGTACAAATACAATCAGAAACCCATAATTACAATACCAGCCGAGATACTGTAAATAAACTCGACTTTTACGTTTTCCAGTATGTCTACTGAAATAATATTTTCATCAAATTTAGCGTAAAAATATTGTTTGAAATCTGTACGTGAAATATTTTTGGTATTGAAAAGACAATTAAAAAATGCTGAAAACAAATGACATGAAATGTCAAAAACATATTCAAATAACCTTAGCTCTATATTTTCCACGACTACGATTTGGAAAAATACATCCCTACAATTCACACACTTATATGTCTATAAACTGCGCAAATACACGCCTAAAACCAGTAAATGTGCATCTTTTTTACATGATAAAAATATGTACAATTACATAAACGTCTTTAATTTCCACATATATATACATATCTGATATCTTTGCACAAAGAAGTCTTAATCTGCACGTATGTATGGTCTTCACCCACACATATACCTTACTGCGATATGCTCCAATTTATGTACATCAATAACGATTACGTTTGATTGACTGCGTTTCCCCGAAAGGAGACCACTTTACAGTAGTGTGTTGTTTGTCAGTCAGTCAGTAGACACTAAAATAGCATCACATAAGAGACGCTTAACGCTGCAATTTGTACTGTCGTGACGTCAGTAAAACATACGCATGCTATGAATCACGAGAATAATTATGCATTTTGTAGGCTACAACACAGCATGACATATAAACTTCAAGAACAAGAAATAAAGATATTTTTTACTCTAATTTTAGTTTTATTTACTCTTGAAACAAAACACTTTCGGGAACCCTGCGGAAATATATCTAGCATAACAGTACACGTCCCTAATCTGCAATCAATTTATATGTAAACATGATTATAATTTGCATGTATATTTGATTATGATCTGTATGTTTAAGTGTCTCTTAGTGAGCCGGGTGTGGCCAAATGATTAGCGTGCGGAGTGTGAATCTGAGGATCCAAGATTCGCGACACAATTCTATACGATTGTGTTTCACACTTTGGGTCCATGGGTTGTATAACAGCGACAGTCAAATCTGAATATTCGATTAGAGTAAAGCAAGAGTTGGCGGTTGGTGCTGTTGAGTGGTTACCTAACTTCTAATTTATCAGTTCAAAAGTATAGGCGGCTAGCAGAGATAGCCTTTTCGCGGACATGTCCTTAATCTATACTTAAATGTATCTTCAATTTTCGTATAACCAGTTTCTAAATCTCTCCATGTGCATATCGTAAAGTTGTAGATATATTGCATGTGTATAGGTGTATATACATTTTAAATATGCACTTACGCATTTACGTGTTATATTTCATAAGTCCGTAAAGAAACGTGCCTGTAAACTGCATGTTTTAAATGTATACTTATACATGTAATAAATCAACATTTATACAGGACTGTGACTTGCGAGTACACTAATCTGTGAATAGTACAAATTCAGTCTCATTATTTAGTTCCAAGTTTTTCATAAAAAAAAGAATATATTTGTGTAGCTATTAGGATAAGAATGAGCAAATGTCAGAAAGATATTTTTTCATAATGTCGTTCGAGAACATCAGTTGGAAAAAAACAGATTTAGCAAATATTGCTTGAGACTTCAAATCTTCATCCACCTGCTTATCCTCTCACCTTGGTCGTTTTTTAAAGTTACAAGAATAAATTTACTGTTCAAACTTCTTTTAATGAAAATGTAAACACTTTAGACTGATTTATAGCCGGAAATATGATTATTTAAGCCTCTAGAATTTTAAAAACATTTCACGATCTTTATTTTGGGGTATCAGCTAATTTTAAGTAGTCTACAACATTTACTTGTAGTAACATGTGAAATAACTTAAATACAAACTTGAAAATTAGTACGAAGTCAGATAATTTAAACTCTAGCTTATAAAGAGAAAAATTTAAGTAAATTCTGTAAGACGCTTAGACTTGGTTAAATTATTTGATTAAAATATTTTACTTTAGATAATTATTCTGCAAAATCTTACATAGTGTAATACATTACGGTAGCTATAATGAGAGCAAACAATTTGCTTCAAGGTTCAGAAGATTAAGCATATCACAGAATACTAGACATAGACGTAGTGAGAGGTTAAATAAGGTTGAAAGAGTTAGAAGATAAAAATACTTACATTCTTTAGGTGTAGTAAGACGTTGTTCAATGCTTGTCTTTTCTGGTTCTAACGAGCAAAGGGATTTTTTTTACTCTTTCAAACATATAACATTCTATATATTCATTCTAAGAATGTCATATTAGCATAACCTTTGCAAAAACACCATATTAGTAAAAATTTTTGAACATATTATTATAACAAAATTCTTGTAAACATCGCAAAATATACATAATTCTCATATTCATGCAGTAATAAAAACTTCATAAGTATGTTACGTTAAAGCTGGCTTATTAATATAATGATTAAGTGTATTCTCATCAATATAAATTTTATCCTAATTCTTCAAACGCATATAGTATCATAAACGTTATTTTTATTATTATTCAAAACTACATAGACGTCATAATTAACATACCTTGCCACACACACACACACATATATATATATAAATACATGCACACTAAATTGAAATTCTATGATATGCGTCCCAGGTGGATTAATGGTAAGTTTACTAACTTACAACGCTAAAATCAGGAGTTTGATTCTCCGCGGTCAACAGAGTGCATCTAGCCTTTTGTGTAGCTTCGAGCTAAAGAGAACAACAAATGTGATATGTAATGTAAACATTACGTGTTTATTAATACTTATTAGCTATCTGTGGTTCAAATCGAACATCTGATTGAAGTTAATATACAGCACTACCATTTTCTAACTTTCTACTGGAAGTGTAAATCGAAATTGTCTCTTTATAACCACTTGAATGTTTTGAACTGGCGGTCAGTAAACCTCCAAAATGATCTATATCGTAAAGTGATAAAAACAATAGCATAAGCTTCAGGTAACTTTGTTTATATACAATCACTTGCAGAAAATGTGTCCTCTGACAAAAAATGGAAATTTGAAAATAACTTCACAAACTTGCGATGGCAAACTGTTGAGACCCAATGTGGTAAATTAACCCTGTGAAACCTGTAACATTATCGTTGTCGGCGATAGGAATTTTAATATTTGAAATGAATGTATTTAATTATTAGCAGCTTAAAAATAATTTTTATTTAATGAGTTTGATAATCATAAGAATACTGTGATCTTGTAAATGTCTAAGTGTAATTCAGCTTCGAAGAATGTAATTTTTACATTATATATTATTTTACTTACCCATAGATGGCGTCTCACTGTTCAAATTATATAGAGAGACATCTTCGAATATGAAAGATGCTTTGAACCCTTGTCCAGGAAAATGACCTCGACTCTGAAACAGTACATGAAGGTTAGGTCCAGTAGATACCATGTCTACAAGAGTGTTTTTATTACACAGCTGACCAATTACTGGACTATGAGCGTCGTCACCATCTCTCACTTCAATTTTATCTGGATTGTTTAGGCAACTGGAACATAAAATAATTATGCTTTGTTATTATTGCATAATTATATTATAATCAATTATCCATCTCGCTACACTAAGCACGTGTTATTTTATTATTGTCATCCTATTTATTTTTCAAAAACAGCACATGCAGTTTACGTGTTACTAGTCATTTACATATATTTAAAAGCGTGAAAAGTTTCTAAAATAGGGAGCACCGCGAAACCAAAGGTTGATAACACGTTGGCCGATCTTTCATTCATCATAGAAAACACTCTACTTACTAACATTCACGTATAGTATAATGTGTAAAAGCTCCCTTCTGTAATCTATATATATTTAAAGTAGAGATCTTGTGTCTTGACATCACAACTTATTGAGAGGAACTGGCTGAACCAGAAATGTGGTAAACGCATTCAAGTGGGCCCCTCTTTCCACTCTAAGATCAGGTTTAAAATGGACAAGCAATCATATGAATGTTCGAATTTGGCAGCCATTTCAATTTTTACTACATGAAGCCAACACTAAACAAACGTGATGTTTAACATTGGGTGTAGTATAAGCACTCATGACGATCGCCTGTATTCAGTGAGCGTGCATGGCGAATGACAAATACGCATGCGAATCAAACAAAATAATTGCTGTGCGAGGATGGATGCATTTACTAGTGTAATACAATACACTTTTTCTCAATATCCATAATTTCTAAAACTTGTCTTATGAAATTGATTATAGCACTCACGTCTCAATATTCATTATATATAATACATAACATTAATATTCACCATTACCATTTAAATATTGATAGTTCCTCTTAGAAAACGGATATGACGCATATCCTTATATCATGTACAAAAAATATACTCATACCAAAGGTTTTCCTCAGAGGCGTCGCTTGAGGCTTAAAAGATTCGGGGCTCGAGCCCATAAGCGCGGGTATTTTTGGCGTTTAGTACGATATCGTTCATGGTTTTCTATTCTGATTTTTGAAAACACCAAATGGTTATTTGAAGCACTGTCAAATGGAATCGAGGCACAGGCCCGAATGCTAGTGCCTAACGATGTCTCTGGTTTTCCTATTAGAAAGTTTCCAAAAATGATCGCCTTTTCTATAAACTTCAATATAGTACCTTTTATTAGGCATTGAAACTGTCAAAAAAAAAAATATTTCTTATGGTACAAATGCAAGTACTTTATTTACCTCAACTCACTCTTTTGGAGTTTTACTTGTTCAAATATCAATCTCACCCTCTCGTTTTTATTCCCCACAAAACGATAAGCGCAGTCAACACCTCTGGGATATGCGCTAGGATACTGAGGTGAAAAGAACCGTCCTGAATTTTCATTGGTGGATTCGCTGTAAAATGTGTAATTGCAATTGGTCCCTGGTGTCAGTTTACCATTGATTTCAAATAGGGCTGGAAAAAAAAGTTAAACATCTTCTAAATCACTAACTATGAAATGTGAAATTATATTAAAAATGTCCTAGATTAAAAGTAATTTAAAATTCGTAAAGAAACCAACGTAATATCAACAAAAAAACAATAAAAAATACTCAACGTCATTTTTTCACGAAAACTTTCCTATGCTTGAGAGAGAGGCCAATGCTAGAAAACAGAGTGATTAATATCAACGTTATAATATATTATGATAGATTAATAGAAAATAAATGTACTCTTGTCATTTGTTTAATATCAGAAATATATCTGATTTTGTATTCGAAATATATGGTTCTGACGGTTTAGCGTCAAAAAATTATTTGTTTTTTTTTATTGTTAGGTAATATCAGGGAATTACAAAATTATGTTTGGTTAATACGAGTGGAATAGTTGTTTTCGATTAGATGGCGCTATGGAAGTATTTTTTATTACTGTTTAGTACCAGAAAAATACCAGCTTTTGATGAATTAAAACCAAAGAAGAACGTTTCACTATGATTAACAAGTAGCATATGAATAGATTTATTTAATATTAGAGACGTGTTAATCAGTATTATCCATCAACATTACGGAACTACTTACTGGTCCTCCAATGGGACAGTGGTAAGTTTACGAACTTACAACGTGGCTATAAAACAAACAAACAAAAACAACTTACCGAATACTGAACATTTTCATTTAATTTACTGAATTTAAAAAATCTTATCTGGACAAAATGTAACATAACTTGGCAATTACTAAATAAAGAGTTTGTAACTCCTTACTATCTTTGTTGAATAATTAGCATATTATATACTTGTAAATTTCAATATACCTAATCAATTAAAAGTGTCATAAATACGGTTATTTGCTTTCCATAAATTAAAATATCGCTTTTATTATTTTGGTGAGTCTTAGCATTCTCACTGAATGCAGCTTACTACTGTCCATGTATGAAAAGGTTTCCCTGAATTTATCATTTATTTGGTTCACCAATCTAACAGATCTCTTAAAATGATTACTCATTTTTGTCAATGAAATGTAAAAGTTCTCCTCCAAAGATCATTTACGAGTGGCGATAAATCTAAACAACTATGTTAAGGATCCTAAAAACCACGCTGAAACTATTACTTACTTTTGTTAATGAATCTAAAGGTCCCTCTAAAGCCTGTATTATTTCCACTTCTCCAATCAGTGTGAAATTCAAAAATCAAGGCACTTCCAGCTGAATAATGAGTTTGTTGTATGTCAGACAACTTCCCACAGAGGACGCTATTGTGCATCGATCTCTCGTTTACTTCGGGTTCTTTTAAGTGTAGATATAATTTTACATAATCCCCATATATGCAGCTATATGTATAAAAATAATCGCTGATTAAAAACAAGATTTATTCTTGGCAAATATCACTGTTTATGATTTAGTTATCCATTCTTGAAATAGCTTGTACATTATCCCGTGGAGAAAAACAAGAAGTATGTCATGTTTGCAACAAAATTAATCTTCCTTTCATTTTACAGTTTTGACGGTTTTATGCGGACGTGCACAAAGCTAATCATAAGAATGTACATAAATACACTTATTTATATCAAAGTATCATTGTTATCATCAGTGTTCTAAGTTGATTTAACAACACACGGAAACAGTTGCTCGTGCTTTATTTGATAACCTTATACCACCTTTAAGTTATAAATATATATATATTAGTTAATGTTAACTATTTGATTGTCATTATCTTTAGACATGTCGTTCTCATTTATACCACAAGAAGCCATGTCTTTTCAATACTCAAGAAAAGGTAAATCTTTCTTTATAGATGATACAAAACCGCATGTTGGCGAATAAATAAAATTTAGATAAAACTATTTTCATGGGCGAGAAGTGTCTTTTAACCTTATAAATAAATGAATTAAAATATGTTTTAGGTTATAGAAAGCTACGTGTTGCTAGGTAAATGAATATAGTTCAGGAAGACAATTTCAGAATATGATAAAGTATTGAGTACCACGTATATTTTTACATGTAAATACACAATAAAACAACTGTTCATAAACGGTAAAAACCTTGTTCACCACAAATAACATTGCAAAAAATTACATTAAGTTTTAATTTTTTTGTTACAACATTTGTGTTTGTAGCAATAAGCTACATAAAAATTTAAAATGCTTTGAAAGGATACTAATGGGAACATAAATATATTGATAACGGTATATTAGCAACGTAATAACAAGAAAATACTGCAGAAAACTTTGCACACAGTGAAAATACACGTTGTTCCGATCTTTACTGGTGCAGATACAATTGTTGTGAAATATCCCCTACAATGAATGTAAATGTTGAAAATAATTTAAGTTATAATGGGGGAAGGATTAGATTGGAATACTTTAAACCTCCATCAATAAGCATACATATTGACGACCTATTATTCCATTGATCAACATCAATGCAGTTACTGATGTAGCTAGAGAATATCATAAGTATGTTCCGCCCAATAAAACATAGCCAACCTCTACCAGCTGTATGATGCTTCATTTAAATATATATATTTACAAACTAACAATAACAATATTTCTTTGCTCAGGGTTTGCAAGTAATAGTACTTGGTTTCTCCACATTGATATTTAAAATGTTCAAAATGCAGTGACTAACATTGTTCAATTTGTTCTATGAATTATTAATATAAAACAAAAGTAGGTGCATCACTTCTATCTCAGTGTCGTCTAAGATTTATGTTTTTCGTATATAACTTGAATGAATTGCAATTCAGTTCTTTACAGGTGCATGTTTTTATACCCTGGTGTAAAAAACAGGTTTTCTACAAAACCTTGCCTTTGTAAAAAAAAAATATCATTGTACCATATCTGGCATTTTTAGACTGATAAAAGACTAACTACTGTAGTGTAGACTGTAGAGGACAAGTTACTACTCATTAAACATTATTTTTTTGTTCCACTACATAAAGATAATCAATGCGCAGCAGGTCTCGTTGTAATTGATATACCCACCACAAGAGTGAACTTCACGTCCAGCTTGACGCCATTGAAATGCTTCTTACCGAAAGGGGTAAAAATAAAATAATTCGAAACAGCTATAGTTGTACGCCATGAATAAATTTCTCAGTAAAACCGGTGTCATTTATAAGTATAATCTTGTAGAAACAATTCCAACCTAATAATCTATGTTAGATATTTTCAAACTGAAGTATTAAGTTAATATTTCATAAACACATACATTCTATTCACTTACAGCCTATGGATATGTATATGCAAGAAGAAACAAAAAATGATAATTCATTATTGATAGGAAAATAAATTACACACACGTAACACCAGTAATTATAAAAATTTAAGAAATGACTAAAAACCAAGAAAACATATTTTTGGAATATATTTAGTTGACGTTGATATTCTCAAGAAAATATGTGAAAATGGCAAATAATTATCAGGATGAAGAACTTTCTATGATATGGACAATAATCGCAAAGTATTAATTTTGTTCATCCCATAAAAATATAATATTAATAAAAAAAAGTATTTAATTTCTAAAAAACACTGCATTTGTCCAGTTGATCTTACGGTACGGCAGAAACACATATACGATAATTAACAATTTGCAATAATAATCTTGCCATATTTTAACATTCATACAGTCAAATAGCATCTTATATATATATTAGTTTGGAGAATATGAAAGATACTTACTCTATACTTGATCTATCGAGGTCAAATTCATCAAACACAACCTCTATTATAGAATCTGTGCTAGACGTAAAAGTGTATAGCATACAGTTTATGTTACTGGCGTAATATTTAGGCCAATCGGGTGACATGAAAATGCCATATTTCTTTTCGTACGTACTGTCGTAATTGATGCACTGACAGTCTGAAACCGAAAACAGATTTTAAGTTAAATATATAAAAATTTAACACGTTGTAAAATATATTTATGTGTATACGAGGTCTATTATTCAAAAAAAATAATTCAAAAATGTGTCGTTTGAGTCAGAAAAGAAACCCACTTACACAAGCGTTTTCAAAAAGTTTTTTTTTCCATCGGGTATTTTAGAAATTTGATGCTAACCATTTTCTGCTGATCCTGACTGATTTTGAAAATCATGAGCATCATATGAATCCCAATTAGTTCCTGATGGTACCGCTAGGTTAACTTGTTGCCGTATTTATAATACTTATAGGAATAATTATCTGATATATAAAGTTTAAAAAAAAACAACAGAGTATTAAATACGTTCTTTAATAGTTTCGAATTCAACTAATCAATAAATATGTCTAAAACCTAATATTGCAGTAGGACTTTTGTATGAAGTACAAAAATAATTGAACTAATTTTTCAAAATTTACTTTATGAATTCCGTTTGTTTTGTATTTTCTTACTTGCGGAAGCAAACTTGAATCTGTTAATTCTACGTGATTATAAAATCATATTGTATGACTCATGGTAGTAAGTTAACCTTGTTAAATATACATAACAATAATACTATATTTGTAAGCTTTTTTTATGAGTGCTCTGATTATACAGTGGAGTCAACGAAACACCGATAAATATATTAATGTTATTTTGTAGATGTTTAGAAAAAGATTGATAGAGAGAGACTTATTGATTCACTTACAAATAGATACATTGATTCATATCCTTACCGGCTGTAGCTGATTTGGCAGATCGCACATGAATATGCACTATTTGGGTTAGAGTTGAGATGAGGAAGATTAATCTGGTCATGTCCTAAAGAAACAGAAACATTGGTCAGCTTTGAACTGAGACACCAATTAAGATTCATCATCATGTTCGAAAAAAAAGTCTCAAGCTTTAATCTTCTTAACTTATTCTCAACACTAATGAAAAATTAATAACCAGACTTTTGAATGTGTAGAAATTGTTTATTTGTTTGCTGTTATATAAAACTACACAATGGGCTATCTGTACTCTGTCCAGAAACCCAGTTTTTAGCGTTATAAAGTCTAAGACTTACCTTTGAACCACAGGTGGGAAAATCTATAGAAACATAACAGCATATTGAAACTTGAAATGTATTTTAAAACTAACATTCTACACACTCAATACGCTTAATTGTTATTGACTTGCTTGTCTGTTTTTATGTAGCATATTTGATTATTAAGATATGAAATTTTCGACAATACAGTTCATAGAAGCAATATTTTGTTTGAAATTTAATCAGCGCTCAGTATATTGAAATGAAGAATGGTGAGTTAAAAAACTAATATTTTATGCGATCAGTATTTCCGGTGAATCTTTTATTGTTCTTGACTTGCTTATTTGTTGTATGACGTAAACATTTCTCTCTATCTTTCTAAAAACAAAGTAAACTACAAAAGAATATAAATAGAATTTTCATTGTGACAAAGCAGAAACGCTCCTTTAAAACAATATAGTATAATGTCAAGAGACCATTCAGTTTATGCATTTGATCATTCGATTTGAAATGCACATGATAAATCATGCAGACGTCGCTCATAAATGTTGCATGCTTAAAATCAGACTGTTAATTAGGTCCTGACGCATCGCGACCACCGCTTTCAAAGAACTGTTTCCAGAGTATTTTTAGCCACAGAAATAGTTAATCGCTGTGTATCTCCGACGTAATTTTACATAAGCCTAGAAAGGAGTAACGTTTATTAAGCGATATATGGTAAGTCAAAATTTCACACAATCGTTTAAAGGTAACCGTATGTTATAATATACATATAAATAACGGTCTAATTGTTGATAAATGAGTAATTTTTGTTTTATTTTCACAAACATGTTCTGTTATTTAAAACATTTTGTTTTAATTCATATTAGACACACTCTGTACAGAGGGTTGAGTATGTTTTATTAAAACGATTTTGAATATGCAAGTCAACAGTCCTCCGATGGTTAAGTAGACTTACAACGCTAAAATCTAGAGTTTGATTTCTCGCTGTGGACAGAGCGCAGAAAGCATATTGTGTAGCTTGGCGCTAAAGTCCTCCGATGGTTAAGCAGACTTACAACGCTAAAATCTAGAGTTTGATTTCTCACTGTGGACAGAGCGCAGAAAGCATATTGTGTAGCTTGGCGCTAAAGTCTTCCGATGGTTAAGCAGACTTACAACGCTAAAATCTAGAGTTTGATTTCTCGCTGTGGACAGAGCGCAGAAAGCATATTGTGTAGCTTGGCGCTAAAAGATTAACAAACAGAGGCAAGTCACGCGACAATTACAGCCGATATAATGTCCCAGTGTAACGGCATTTAACAAGATTACATTTTGACATTGTTTGATATTTTGTAGATATTGTGATACCACTGAACAATAACTACTTTTGAGAAGAGTATGTTACAGCGTCTACGGACGCAAAGTAGTTCATTACAATCAGATCATAAAGGTATGGCCATGTCGAGGCTTTAAAATATTTAAGACGGCCATATCGCTTAATGATGCCGGAAGACAAAGGAATATAAGTCAATTGGAACCCCAGGACAATCCAAAAAGAGACTTGAAACAAGTGATACAACAGTTGTGGTAAGCAAAGTGCATATTGTACAAGGTAGGAATTAAAGAGCACAAAAATTCGTGGTAAATGCCTTCCACGTGCCCTAAGCAATAGTATGCAACATACTCAAGAAGTTTCTATGTAGAAAAGCGACATATGTACACAAGTTGATTTTAAGACATACCTCTTTAATTGTTGCATACCTCAAGCAGCTGGAAAATGAAAAGACGGGTATTCATACAAAGACATACCAGTCAAGTTTTTCCTATGGATTTTTTTTCTGCGATTACACTTTTTAAAAAGACGCTGAAAAGCCGTCATCCTCGTACACTAGATGTATTATGGAAATAAAGCAGGGAGTAATTGTGTGCTTTTGACATGACCGCCTTACAACAGAGTCTTTTGCCATGGAAATGATGTTGCAGAGCTATTCTCAAAATGCAAGGTCATCAGATATAGCATAACCGGACATGAATTGTAAGGACGTGATGAGGCTCCAAAAATGTTTACTATAGTATTGTTGCGTGAGCGAGGTCATGTGACTAATGTCACGCCACTTCTCTCGAACCTTCGGGAATAGTCGGGAGATTACTAGATATAGGGTAATCTGGTATATATATAAGAGGGTGACAACGTGACAAAGAATGT